CACGAGGGCCGGGCGGGCAGGGCGAGCAGCACCGTGTGGGCTGCGCAGGCAAGCGCACGTGGGGATGGGTGCACAGGGACAGGGTGCATGGGGATGGGTGCACAGGGACAGGGTGCATGGGGATGGGTGCACAGGGACAGGGTGCATGGGGATGGGTGCACAGGGACAGGGTGCATGGGGATGGGTGCACAGGGACAGGGTGCATGGGGATGGGTGCACAGGGACAGGGTGCATGGGGATGGGTGCACAGGGACAGGGTGCATGGGGATGGGTGCACAGGGACAGGGTGCATGGGGATGGGTGCACAGGGACAGGGTGCATGGGGATGGGTGCACAGGGATGGATTGCATGCAGACGGACACACAGTCAGGGTGCATAGGGATGGATTGCATGCAGACGGACACACAGTCAGGGTGCATAGGGATGGATTGCATGGGGACGGACACACAGTCAGGGTGCATAGGGACGGAGTGCATGGGGATAGAAACACAAGGTCAGGGTGCAGAGGGACAAGGTGCATGGGGATGGGTGCACAGGGACACAGTGCATGAGGACGGACACACACGGTCAGGGTGCACAGGGATGGATTGCATGGGGAGAGACACACACGGTCAGGGTGCACAGGGATGGATTGCATGGGGAGAGACACACACGGTCAGGGTGCACAGGGATGCAGTGCATGAGGACGGACACACACGGTCAGGGTGCACAGGGACAGGGTGTACAGGGACAGACACACACGGTCAGGGTGCACAGGGACAGGGTGCATGGGGATGGGTGCACAGGGACAAGGTGCATGGGGAAGGACACACAAGGGCAAGGTGCACAAAGGTGCATGGGGATGGGTGCACAGGGACACAGTGCATGAGGACGGACACACACGGTCAGGGTGCACAGGGATGGATTGCATGGGGAGAGACACACACGGTCAGGGTGCACAGGGACAGGGTGCATGGGGATGGGTGCACAGGGATGCAGTGCATGGGGACGGACACAGGCGGTCAGGGTGCACAGGGACAGGGTGCATGGGGAACGGACACACATGGTCAGGGTGCAGAGGGACGGGGTGCACGGGGGACGGACACACATGGTCGGGGTGCATGGGGACAGGGTGCACATGGTCGGGGTGCACAGGAACAGGATACAAAGGGATGGAGGTGCATGGGAAGAGGGTGCACAGGGACGGGGCGCATGGGGACAGGCACCCAGGGCTGGGGGGCACAGCGCCGGGGCGCCCAGCCCTGCCCCTGCGCTCCCTTCCCCAGGGCCAGGCCTCACCCAGGACGGGGTG